AGTTGGAAATATTGACGTGGTATGTGTACTCTACATAGATGACCGATGAAAAAGTCCATCAAACAGTTCTTGGAATACACGTATGGCTGTGTTGCTACTTCAATGTTTTTTTTAGATGATGTGATTGTTGCTTTTTAGCCGTAAAACCAAAAGTAACTGATATGTTAAGGCTTTGTACGAGTATTAAAATTTACCAATATATGTAAATTAAATATAAATAGAAAATTTTAATGTCATTTGTCAGTTATAAATAAGAGAAATATTGTCGGTAAATGTTTGAGCAGTTATTTAATTTTACGTTTCACGGAGTCAAAATCAGGTTTGCATTCGGACCAATCATTCAATCAACATGTCCATAATTGATGGTTATCGCATTACGCAACTCGTTAGCGTTGCCCGTTGATTTCTGTGATAATTCAGGTTTTCATTTGGATAATGAAAATTTAAGGAGATTTCATATTTTATACTCTTGTATTTAATCTATTAAGTAGCTCTCGGTAGGCCAAATCTGGACATAGATCTAACGTTATCAATGTGATAGCATTAGATCTTTTCTATTTCACATTCAATTTATTCCCGATATTATGATGATATTTGTATGAAACATTTTAAAGAAAAGTAGTATTTATTGCGATTAGAATATATAACTCAATAGGCTCTCTAAAGTAATAAGTCATACATATTCACGCCTGCATTCCTGAAGGGGAGACTTTATTGCGAAAAAGTTGGTTTATAAATTAATTGCTGCCCATGGAAAGCTGAAGTCACATACCATAATCGGCTAAATTACCTAAAGAGAAATGTTCGAATAACTGTGAGTCATAGTTCAATGTATTTATTGTGTGTGCTAGTGAGGTGGGTACATAATTTTCGATGGTTGCAGGACTCGCCCTTGAAGTCTTGAAGTTCTGATATCGATTGTACCACACAAAGTCGTTTATAAGAGTCAACACTCTTATTATATAATTATAAGGGACATGTTATAAACACAAGTTATTTAATCGAAAAAGATTTTTATTCATACCTAACTAAAAACTGTGTTATATCCTAGGTACGTATATACATAAATTCTAGTTACGCAAATTACGTTTTATAGACCCAAATAGGAGTATATGCATAAAGTTTCAGGAAGATTGATTTTTTTTTTTTTTTTTAATATTTAAAAAACTGAAAGGCTCTTTTGAAAAACCAGCCATAAAAAAGTTTCTCTACAAAACAGTTTTGCAGGTATAGAAGTACTCCTAAAATTGATTTGAATAAAAATGTTTTTTTTTCTCCGGTCGGACACCGGATGGTCGCTGGGCTCTGGAGGCGATTATACACCCGATGCCGCAAATTGACTGCACGTATTGCGTAGTGGTTTAAGCAGTCACCTAGCCGCTTCCACAACACTAAACGTAGTACACTCAACGTAGTAGACGTTGAGTGTTGTGGGTTCGATCCCCACTTGAGACATCACTTTCTGTAATACACAAATTATTGTTCTGAGTCTGGGTGTTCTTTGTGTTCGTTTCATGTATGTCTGTAAAGCCCCCCGCCACACAGGATATATTCATAATGTGGGAGTTGTCTCGTTGTTTTATAAATAAGCAATAAGAAAAAGTATTCTACACATAGTAAGTAGTAAATATTATGTTGTGATGAGATCTAAACCTAATGATTATATAATGCAATTAATGCATTTCAGGTGCCAATCTCATTTTTATAGCTGCATCACATGTACTATTTTTTTTATTAATGTTTAATCATGGTTATTGCAAGTCTAAATAACTGCACTAAATTGAACTAAGCACAAGGTTGTTCACGTAAGTGTGACACGAGGCGGGTTCACCTTCAAGAGAGTTGGTAACTTAATTCATTATAGTGCGCCGTGTTTGAGTTCCGTGAGCACTCTCCAGTTTTGGCCTTGTTTCGGCAAACGTATAACTCCATAGACCCCCGCCTCCTGCACACGATTCACTGCCCCCACCTGCGAATAAACAACTACCTGATTGACACCTATACCATGCAAATTACTTGCTGAAGCTTTTAAGGGTTGAACAACAACGTTCTATGTTCTGTAAACAGACAGTTCAACAAGAATATTATCTTTAGTGGCGCTACATAGTCGCCTGAAGTAATAAGTTACAATCGATTGCCATATTTTGGGGATGTGGGCTGTATTGCAGGGGCTATTTGTTTATATTAGTTGTTCTTGTCAACTCTGTAAGTATATAGTTATGCTAATTAAGAACTAGGTAACCACTACACTAAGTAGTAGCACCGCAGATAATTAATTTATTAAACTATTGCAGAAGATAGCAGATATCTAAAATCTTTTAAGCTCTAAATAATATGCTTCAACTAAAGAGCTGTTTAGTTTAGATTATCATTGGCAGCCATCATCAAACACTTTTTAAGAATCTCCTTTACTCATTATTACGGTTGTAAAAACGAAATACTTCAACAAATAAATATCGATATTGAGGAACGAGAAATTTCTTTTTTTTACCCAATATCATAAAGCATGGTCTCGTGACGGCCATCGGAGTGGGGATTCTAGAATTCTCATGGCTTACCAGGCCGGCAACGGGCTAGGTACCGCATGCAAAAAAGGTATTGGTGAAAAAAACTATTTTATAATATTCAAAATCAATAAAATATTTTGTTTAGTTAATACAACAATATAGAATATTTTTTTTAGATAGGTAGATAGAAGCTAATTTTTAACATGCCGCTTATATTTGATTTTTTCTTTCCCTATCTTTTAAAAGGTATATTTATTAAAACTGTTAATAAAGTATGATCTCGAATGACCCATATAAAGGGCGTGAAATGAAAGTTATACAAAAGATATTTTATAAACTCAATTACTTCAAGACAATGAAGAAGGATTAAAAAGCTACTAGGAATCTAATTCAATTGGTCTTAAAAATAACGAGTTACAAAAGCGAATAGAACATTAGAGCTTTGTCAAACTGTCACTAACAAACACAGTAAACAAATCTCAACTTAAATTGCATCTCAAATCAGTGAACTTTTACAGATGGTTAATTTTCTCGACATTATTACTACATGAACTGAAAACTGAAGAGGATATTGGGTGGAGGGGGGAGAATAGAGTGTATGAACGCCTTAAGTACAAAAAACGTTTATTTTTAGTTCGTGTCTATAAAATTCTAGTTCATGGCACCAGAAGCTTAAATATTGACATTCTGAAGGTGTTGTAAGTAAAGTAACATTTGATTTAAGATATAATTGTATATATATCGTTTATTATATGTTATATATTTTTATATATACCTCTAATCGATTTGGGCGTATTCGGCTGGGGTGATTGGCAACACTGCAGAGGACAGCTCGCTCTTTAGAAAAGGAGTCACTCTAAATCTGACTTCACCGTTTTTTTGCAAGTAATCCGACTACATCTGAGCTGCGTGTGCATATTTTAGTGTGATTTCTTATTAATTTGATGTAATTAAACCCGATGAGTGTATACGGAGTCTTATTTCCTTACATCTATGATGGATGAAAAATTGAGAAACGATAGTCGCCTACGCACCCCCACGTTAAATATAGTTATGACATCAACTTACCAATTTAAAACCGATAAACTTATTTGACCGGTCTGTTTGTCTAGTGGCTGGTTAGTATAGCCATGAAGTGCCACAATATAGAATTAAGTCTGCAATACTCGAATATTTTTATAATAAAACTATTATTATAGGTAAATTCAAATTCAATACGTTCAGTTCATAAAACTGTTCGACAATTATTTAAAAGCGTTGTTTTATTACAAAAAAATATAAATAAAAACCACGCAATGTCGCGGCAACAATAGGGTGTTTCATCCAAAATAAAATTATTAAAATGGTGAAAAACAAATAACGCCGTACCTGTTTGCGTTGACCTATGACCGTTCATTTTCAAATGGTTAATTAAGCCTTGTGCGTAGAAAAAATATCATAACATAGGTATAAAATCAATTATATTATGCATACATTTAAGAGATGCATACATAAATGCACAATACGTGCATACATGTATATAACAGGCATGCATGTTGTGTACATGTCCGATTAAAGGTTAATTAATTTACTGAATAACCTATAATATAGCTACATATCATATCAAACTTTGTGATATATTTTTACATCATTATATTTCGTCGCTTCATTCTTCAGATACAATATAAATCCATACCAAGTAGTCCCTTTAACCTACAGGCAACATCGCACGTTTTTTAGAGAAAATCGAGTTAAGGAATCGATTTCGTATTAAAAAAAATAAAATAAGAACTGTCATTCGCTCCGGTCACCCGCGCCCGATCTGTAGAGCTCATTCCTTTTTCGTGCGAGGCAACGAGCACAACTTAAAAATGCCGAAACGCAGCGCACAAGAAAAGTTAAATAGTTACCGGGAAAAGATTAGGAAAATAGAAGAAAGAGAAAAACGCAAGAAATATCATAATCATAGTCGAATTAGACGCGTAATAGAGTCACCAGACTCGTCAGACAATGACAGGAATGGAGGTATGTACATAAAACTTATAAAATTCTTTCACTTTACTCTTATTTCACTGTGGGTACGTTTATTGCGTATTGATATTTTAATTAATAAGTAAATTAATCTAAGAGACTGTAATTTCGATTACTGTATCAGCAAAACACGTTCGACCGTACAGATTCGAACAAATCGTATTGACTGCGAGTCAACTACGACAACATGTTTAGCTGCGAACTACTCATGAGACACGTATGTGTTAAAACATAATGTAGAAACTACGCGTAATCTAAATAGATATGCGCGTGCACTACATTATTAAAATCGTCTGCGAGACAATCAGTCTTCATAAGCTTAATCTATGTATGTAAAAAATCGATATATAAGGTTATTATCAATATACCCTCGTATATACCTATCTAAGATAAAAATAAGTATGAAAAAGTTATCATGGCAGCAGTTCGTATAAGCATGTTATTCCCCTTGTAGATAACGTGGAACCTCAACTTATAACGGAGATGCAGGCGTCCCCTATCAAAACAGTACTAGAAAGATGTGATTCGGCTTCGCCAGCACAAAATGCTGTTGAACCCGAGCAAGATACGATGGACCCTACCATGGAGCCTCCATTGGAATTGTTATCTGCATTGGGTGCATCCACATCTGCTACACCAGAATTTGGTGCTAACGTCCATGATAGTGTAGCAAATTTATGGACGCCGATATTGAAGAAAGGCCTCCCTAGTGAGGAAAAAGATAAGCTTGTTAAAGAATACCTTCCACCTGGCAACTGTACACTGTTGCAAGCACCCAAGCTCAACGCAGAAATTTCTGCTGCGGCGACGGATATGGTAAAAGGACGAGATAAAAAACTGTTGAAATTCCAACAACAGCTCGGAGTTGGTACTGCTGCTATTGGCAGAGGAATCGATACATTATTGAAATCAAACAATAAGGTTTTAGCCCTGACACAAATAAGTGACGGTTGTCGATTCTTAACAGACCTACATTATTTACTGTCCAAAGACAGAATTAAGTTGGTTTCACATGGTTTGGAAAAAAATTTCCTAACAGTGATTCAAGACGCCGAAAGGGATGAGACATTATTTGGAAACTCTTTGTCTGAAAGAATTAAAGCCAGTCTTGCCATTAGTAAACAGAGTGCACAAATCAAAGCTACGACAAATCAAAGAGCTGGTATCAACCCCATGCAGTCACATATTACTCGACCCAGCCAGGGAAACTGGTCGGGACCTCCTCGTTACCCTACGAACAGGGGGGGGGCGGGGAGGTCAGCGGAAGTCAACAACGGTAGCACCACCACGCCGGGCTTATCGACCTCCTGCTCAAATACAATCAAGAGTGCACAAGCAGTCCAGGCCACGTGCAGCTCCACAATAACTCAGGTACACGCAGGCCGCATTAAATCATACCTAAACTGTTGGTTTAAAATATCTAATAATAACACTGTATATCATGGATCGCTAACGGATATCCTATCCCTTTTTGTAAGGCAGTCATTCAAATATCAACCCCAAATTGTGATCTCTCATATATAGAAAGCTTCGAAATGTTGGAAGCTATTAATAAACTACTAGATTTAGGTGCTATATCGCGCTGCATCCCATCGCATGGTCAATTTATTTCAAAGACCTTTCTAGCACCTAAGCCTGATGGTAGCAAACGGGTTATTTTAAATCTTAAACCATTAAATAAATTCGTGGAAAAAACTCACTTCAAGATGGAAGATTACCGAACGGCAGTTAAACTAATACCCAAAGGAGGTTATTTAGCTACCATAGACTTAAAAGAAGCTTTTCTTTTAGTACCTATAACAGAATCTGACCGTAAATACTTACGCTTTAATTTTCGAGATCCCATTTCTAATAAATTAATCACGTATGAGTTTAATGCTATGCCATATGGCCTTTCAGTGGCACCTAGGGTCTTTACGAAAATTATGAAGGAAGTCATTGCCTATCTCCGAAAACAAGGCCACAAATCTGTGGTCTATCTTGATGACATGCTGTGTATTGGAAACAACTATGACGTATGTCTAACAAACGTACAGGAGACTCTAAGACTATTAGAGTGTTTAGGGTTCATTGTGAATTATACTAAGAGTTTACTGACACCATCTCAAAAATGTAAATTTTTAGGTTTCTTGTATAATACTGAGAATCTTACTTTATCTTTACCACCAGATAAGCGACATAACATCAGAAAATTAATTCAAAAGTACTCACGCTTGCCACGATGTACCATACGCGATTATGCGCAATTAATCGGTGTTCTAATAGCTGCCTGTCCTGCTGTTAGATATGGCTTCTTATATACAAAAATATTAGAGAGACAAAAATTTATTTTATTACAACAATATAACCATAATTACGAAGCTAAACTAAATTTACCTAAATGCATCCTTGATGACCTTAACTGGTGGCTTAAAAACATTTTAACAACTTCGTGTCCAATGAGAACCATACACCATAAGAAAGAAATTTTTACAGACGCATCCAGAACGGGTTGGGGCGCTGTGTGTAACGAGGAAAAGATTAGTGGCAATTGGAGGACGAATGAATTAGAACATCATATTAATTACTTAGAGCTCCTCGCAGCATTTTTAGGCCTTAAAAGTTTCGCTAGCGATGAGAAAAATTCCACGATATTATTACGTATTGACAATACTACGGCTATTAGTTATATAAATCGTATGGGCGGTATTCAATTTCCACATCTTAATGATTTGACTAGGTCCATCTGGCAATGGTGTGAGAAAAGAAATATTTGGTTATTTGCATCCTATGTGAATACTAAAGAGAATTGCGCTGATGCAGAGTCCCGGAAAATTAACCCGGATACCGAATGGAACCTATCTGATAAAGCTTTCGGTGCCATCATACAACATTTTGGATACCCAGAAATCGACCTCTTTGCTTCTCGAAGCAATGCGAAATGCAAAATGTTTGCGTCTTGGAAGCAAGAGCCAGACTCTTACACCGTAGATGCATTTACTATAAATTGGCAATTAAAATACTTTTACGCGTTTCCTCCATTTTCACTCATTCTAAAATGCTTAAGAAAAATAATTGATGATAAGGCAACCGGTATCCTAGTTTTTCCATACTGGCCTACACAGGCTTGGTTTCCCCTATTACAAAGTCTTCTCGACTCCCGTATTATATTTTTCAATCCGAATAAATCACTGTTACAATCTAATTTCAGAAAGTACCATCCTCTCCACCACAAACTTACCCTGGGTGTCGCGAGATTATCCGGACAGCATTCATGCGCCACGGCACGCCACCAGAGACACTCGACTTAATGCTAGCATCCCTGTCGGACAACACCGTTAAACAGTACAACGTAACACTTAAACTATGGTGGCAGTTCTGTGAGTTACACAATATCAATAGTTTTAATTGCTCGGTGTCATCTGTCTTGTCATTTTTGACAGAACAATTTACTAGAGGATGTTCTTATGGCTCTCTTAACAGTCACCGTTCGGCGCTATCCTTAATCCTAGATGAGAACATTAGATCTAACGAATCAATTAAGCGCTTGCTAAAAGGAGCATACAAGTTAAAGCCAAATCGACCGAAGTATACCTCAACGTGGGATCCACAATTAGTTCTTAATTTAGTTTCGTCTTGATACCCAAATTTGCATCTTACTCTCGAAAAAATCTCAAAGAAGCTAGTAACCTTGTTAGCTATTTGCACAGCTCACCGGGTACAAACCTTATCACTAATCAAACTCGAAAACATTACCTTTTCAACGATCGGAGCTAAGATAGCCATTACGGACATAATTAAAACCTCCGCACCCGGACGTGACCAACCAGTCCTAGTTCTGCCATACTTCGACACAAACCCTAACATATGTCCAGTTACAACCCTCAAAGATTATATTTTTATGACGAAAGATCTGAGGGACACGCACACAGGCTCCCTTGTATTGACATTTAAGAAGCCACACAAACCTGCCGCTTCCCAATCAATAAGCCGTTGGATAAAGCAAGTGCTTTCAGAAAGCGGTGTAAACATCAGTACTTATAGCGCACACAGCACTCGACACGCGGCCACGTCCGCGGCGCTTTCCGCCGGACTAAGTTTGGATGTAATTCGAAAGACAGCAGGATGGACCAGTGCGTCCACTACTTTTGCTCGCTTTTATAATAGGCCTATAATAAACGAGAGTGAATTTGCCAATACAGTAGTATTTCCTAGCTGATTAGAATCATTAAATATTTAAAATCATGCGCAAAGCAAAAAATGTTTAATCCTTTGCTCGATTTTATCTACGAAATATCTTTAGTAAAGTATTTTTGTTTAAATAAAAGCCTCTGATTGAACAATATCTTGTCTTTAACTTAATAACCCATACGGTGATTGAATGTTTATAGGAACAAAACTTAATTCTCTAAACATCTACTTGGTATGGATTTATATTGTATCTGAAGAATGAAGCGACGAAATATAATAGATGATCAAACGAACTTCCCAAGTGAAGTTCGATCATTATTATATGAGTCGCTTCATTCGAAGATACAATGACCCTCCCACCCAAGCAAAAACACATTCAGTACCTCATGTGGTTAGCTCCCAATAAATAAGTTTGTTTCTATAGCTCTAAAGGAATGAGCTCTACAGATAGGGCGCGGGTGACCGGAGCGAATGACAGTTCTTTTTTTTTTTTTAATACGAAATCGATTCCTTAACTCGATTTTCTCTAAAAAACGTGCGATGTTGCCTGTAGGTTAAAGGGACTACTTGGTATGGATTTATATTGTATCTTCGAATGAAGCGACTCATATAATAATGATCGAACTTCACTTGGGAAGTTCGTTTGATCATCTAATATACGTCATACTGGACTCGCAAACTGCAAACTTAACTTCATCAAAAGTAAACATTATTAAAAATTACAATTAAACATTACATTGAGTGATGTAACTAGTAAGAAATCGTTTAATTTTTTGGCCTTGCCTATTACCAGCAGTGCCGGACTGACTGGTCTGCCTGGTCTGCCAGGCCCTGACTGGCTTGAAGTCTGCCTTGTGACCGGGGTTAGTAGCTGAACAGCCGGCCTTTTCGCCTTCTTTTTCTTTGCTCTCTTCTTCCTCTTCTCAGAAGACGAGGAGAGCACCGAGGCTGTATCAGCCGGCTGCTGAGCCACTGCAGTCCGTCCCTTGACTAGACTAGTCTGGCACCTCTCTCTGGGAAGAACCTTTCTAAAATCCCGGACTGGAATCTGGCAAACTCTCGGTTCATGATAACCTCGATTCGCTCCCAGTCCGGGTGGCCTTCCTTTACCGGGGCTACTGCCACTGGCACTGACGCGCCCATTATCGCAACACGATCTTTCCCGTGACCTTTGTGGTCGGCTAGCTCCGCAGCATGGCGTAAGACAGTCCCACTGTCTTTTCCCACATGAGGAAGTCGTTCTCCTATTGGAGATTCCTCACTTGGTCAGCCACCGACGATGACGCTTTCCTATTGGATAACGTCATCACCTGATTCTACACAGACGCCTCCTCGTGCTCGCACGACGCCGCCTTTATTACCGCAGAGTCTGCAGGGCCCGGCAAATGGAGCCCATAACCTCCGCCTTCGTGCACCGGGGTTTGTCTAATGTCTCCTCGTCTTTAGCCAGACTCCGCAGCATTTTTCATCAACCTCTGCTGAACTCGGCTTGGTGGGCTTTCCCTGCGTAGCGGACTGATTTGCGTCACTGACACTGAGTGGCCGCTTCGCGAGACACATCCGTCCCCCTTATCGGGTCGCATATTCCCGCGTTTCCGCGACTGCCGGCGCGTTCCCTCTCCGACCCCATCGAAGCTAAGCTATCGCTTTCTTAGGGTTACTCACCTCCAAGGAGATTGTGCGGTACCCCCTTATGACCCTGATGGCCAGCACTCGCTGCAGTCGTCGTAGTAGTGCGACGTTGCTGGCCTTGAGGGTCTCCGCACATAAATGTAAGGGACCCTAAACGATTATTTATAGCTAAAGCATCAGTACAACCAAACTGGCCTCGAATAAATACAAATTCAAGAATCGTACTAATCAATCACTCAGTAAGCACCGCATATTTCGTGCAAACTCGCATGTAGATCTATAGGCTTATTAAATATACATGTAAATCTACTTTAGAAACCTTTCTTTAAAAGATCATAAAAACAAGCTTCACCTTAAAAAGGTTACCTCGAATAAGACCGTTACTTGGATTAAGAATTATATATTTTTAATATACATATTTCAGAGAAAAAATAGACCAGTATACTTCTATCGAATGTGATTTTACAGTTACAGTTCATTTTACCACTAGCTTTACCCGCGGCTCCGCCTGCGTGAATGTCGGTTATCGGTGTCGGTAGAAAGTAGCCTAAGTTACTCGCTGATAATGCGGCTTCACATTTATAGTATAAGAATGGAAGTGTGGATGTATTCGATTTATTGTTTTTTTCAATGTATTTTAATTTCGATCCTTGGTGTTACCAAATAGGTAATAATTTTTATTAATAATTAATATTAATTTGATTTCAAATCTTAGCGATGTTACTCTTTAACTACTGTGACTATACGAGTTAAAGAGTAACATCGTTTATAAAGATTTTCTCAGATTATATAACTAGTCTCTGTTTAATTTGACTAAAATCAACTACAGAAATGAAAAAGCTGGTGTCATCAAGAACTCCTAGGAATAAATACTCTGAGAAATAATATAAGTATGTGGGACTAATCCCTCCCACACGCCCAGGGTTTAAACAGGGAAGCACCAGGGCCACAAAATATTATGGGTCCTAAGTGAGCTATATTTGATTTCTATAATTTTCTATAATGCAGATTTATATATTTTCTATATCTATATTTAGATTTCTATAATGCAGAATCGCCTAAACGCACGGAAATCCACCCTAGTCGACACAAGATCCCCATAGTATACCGCCCTAGATGTCACCTGTAAGCTATTCAGCATTATATTTTGTTAATTATACCAAAGTCTACATTCCCTGGGGATATAAATATGATGAGCAGACTACTTATAGTTAGAGTTAGGTGTTGAGCATTGACACAATAATGACTCTAATAGTTTAAATGAATACAGTTTGCTCTTAAAGTTACCATGATCTGCAAGAAATTATGCGACACAGTGATCCACCTCAAGCCATATTCTCGATATCGGTTCGCGAACAGGTGGAAAGAACTGGTAAAGGTGGCGCCCCTTAGATGATTTGTCAAAGCGTTGTTGCCATTGGCCTAGGAGGTCAATATAGACATCAGACTGCTGTTGAAGCAATCTTGTGATTTTACCGCAATCTCGTGCGCCCAAAAAGGCGCTTTCCATGTTTTGTAGTATTGAGTAGTAGATGGCTGCACGTCTTTTTACCTCGACGTAGACCGGAAGCACACCTGCCAACACCGGCAAAGCCTCAGTGCTAACCGTTCTATATGCCTTGCACAAGAATATCAGTGCAAGTCATTGGCCTTGTAATAGTTTGCAACGAACAACGCCTACGGTCACCCTATCGGCCCATACAGGTACACCATAGCACATAGAACCTAAATAAGTTGCTCCGTATATGGTCTTTAGCGTATAGAATGATATACCCCATGTCGCAGTTGATATCCTTGTCAATGCACAGAAACTTTTTTTTAGACTCTTTATTAACTGTTTTAATTTGTTCGATAAAAATAAATTTTCTTTTTGAAACTAATCCTAAATAACACACTAAGGTTTTATTTTTTACCATAACATTGTCAAATTAATTGTTCGGCGGTGATTTGAGGTCACCTTTTAAAAGTAGCTGGAAGGTTTTATTGGGTGCAAAAGTTAAGCGTAAACACCAATGAGATATTAAGTTCAAACATCTATTGGCTAATTTTTCTAGACTCGCCCTAGTATCAGATTCTACCAATAATAGATCACTATCATTATACGCATTCAGAGTACATTCGGATGGTATTGGTAGCGCAAGAAAATCGTCGAAGTCTATATTCCACAAGTATGGACCTAACACTGATGCCTGAAGACATTCCATTGTAAGCGCCTTCGACACAGAATGATGACCAACTCTTAGTTTACTTGTGCCTTGTGAAAAGTATGAAGAGATAAGGGAATAAATATTTTTAAAGAACACCTGTGATTTTAATTTCAGCAACGGCATGGGCCACCATGGGTTGTCGAAGGCGCCACATAAAATTTTTGGTTATATCGGTGACAATCTTTCTAACCGATATTACCGCATAAACACCGTGGCGTATAGGTTATCAGATAAATTTAAATGATAGATAACACGGTTTAATATACGTCAGTCAAAATTTAAAAAAAAAATGTACGAAAATATAGAAATGCG